AAATTCTCAATGTCTAGTATAATAAATGGGGTACTAAAAGGAAGACTTTCCGCTGGTTTAAGGCAGAGCACATTGCTTTTCTCTTAAAGTTCAGTAGAGTTAGATGGCCCTTCCTCAAGGTCAACTGATATAGATTGAGATATAGTCATAGATGATGAAAGTTTCATTTTATATGTTCCTCTCTTTCACTCACCAAGGCAATACTTAGACATAGCATGACCTCTTCCTTTTTATGAGTATGTATGTCCCCATAAATGGAGTGATTTTTTTTAACTTTTTTTTTTTTTTTTTAGCAGAACTCTTTTTTTATGTTTGTTTTATTTCTTTTTCCTGTAGGAAACCAGTTCTGTCATTTTGTACATGTTTTTTGAATCACGTCTTCAGGAAGCAGATGTTTCCTTAAACATTCCAATAAATCTGAAATAAAAATGAAAGGTTGTTGTGTGTGTTTTTCTACTTTGAGAAGACAGGGAGTGGAATTTGGAGTTAGTAATGGGTTTAGCCTGAAGACTTGATCCATGAGAGCTGAACTGCCTAATATAAACATTGTTTGTTTCTAGAGACCATTTGCCGGGCTTTCTGCTTTAGAGCTATAGATGCAAATCACAGTAGGTACCTGTCTTCAAAGAATTTGAAGCTCAGCAGGAGAGATAAAGAGAAGGCAAACAGTGTGATAAGTGATTTATCTAAAACCCCAGAGTTTACTTCTAACAAAACTTTGGCTAGAAATTACATATTACTAAACTTCCTTAAGGTATTTGAGGAATACAAAGTAATTTTAATTTGACTCCAGGCAACTAGCGTTTTATAGTTTTATTAAGAAAACAAGATAGTCAACCAACACAAAACAATTAGCTGACAATACATGACACCCCATGAATAAGCACTCAAATGTGTTGTATACAAAGTAATGTCTCTGTGTGGTACAGTGGTAATGAGTTTGGGGTGAAATTCTCCACTCAGCTATGTTAGAATTAAAAAAAAAATGAAAGTACTCCCTTTTCACTTGTAAGTATGAACCCTTTCTAATCCTAAACCATTAGAAGTGAAGGCAAATTTCTGACCTTTTGAAGACCTTCAAAGTTGAACATATCAGTCTTTTTTTTTTCCTGTTAACTGTTCTTCTGGACATATCTCTTTTGTACTATCTTACATTTGTTCTGTCATACCCTGAGACTGTTTCTGTGATCACTCATTATTCAGAGAATATCGAAAAGGAAAGTGAGAAGTTGCCCTCCAAAAAAATGCAATGTGAAGGCAGGGTTAGGCAGTTAAAAAAGCATGAGGGGAGTGAAGATGAGGATTTTTTCAGAACTTCCATAAAAGATTAAAATGACAGGGAAACAGGTAGAGGATTGATACCAGTACAGAAATAAAAGGAGACCTGTTACTTTTAACTCCTTCATGATTTTTAGGTGAGCAGAGGAGAAATACTGAGAAATCAGAAGGAGAAGGACAGAGAGAAGGAGGCATGGAGGCAGTGAAGTGAGAGAAGGAAAATGAGGGAAAAAACAGTCAGAGGTGTCAACCAAAAGGACAATATTTAGAGCATTTCCACGTTTTTTCCCCCCAAAGGATGACAAATCTCTTCTCAAAAAACTGAGAACTTCATTTGTCGACTACTGGGAATTTCACAACAGTGGACTCAGAAGTTCTAAGCAGCAGTTTCCTAAACTGTGACTAAATGTCCCCGCCTCCTACAAAAAGGAAATGGCCAGTAACTTTCATTTTCAGGACTGTGGCTCTCTTCAAGGCAGCAGGAAGGGACAAAGGCTGTTTCCAAATGGCTGGTGAGTAAGGGTCCTTTTCTGACTAGGGGTCAGGGGCTTGGGTCTTAGGAAACATTTTATTCATTGCTCTGTGACAAGCAGAAATCATAAAAGGGAAACAGGCCAATAGTGTGCAAGCTGAATTCTTCCCCTTATTAGCTCTGTAACTTGAATCAAAGGATACTGCCTAAGAGGGGCTGAAGGAAAGTATGGTTTCTAGATACCTTAGACCCAGGAAAAGTTCATTCCTTTCTGTCAGCTTCTGGTAAAGAAAGAAGGGTAAAGACAAATAGAGTATGTTATTTGTGTGTGAGACAACTCTCAAAGTTTCTAAATGCACTCTGAAATCTTCTCAGCTTCCTCTTAGTTTCAAATTAGTCATCTGGATCATGAACCTTGTTCCCAGAATCATATGTGAGCCTTTTAATTCCTCCTGCCCCCTTTGACATCCCCTCTATTGAAGTACACTCTTGGTCTTTTTAAGGTGACTCTATTTTTTTCCCTCTTTCTCTCCAGTCCTGGTGTTAACTACTGCAGCAGTTTTTTCTTAGATTACTATTACAGTTTTTTTGTTTTGTTTTTGCTGAATTTTTGGTAGTTTTATTTTTACTTTCTTAAGGAAACTCTGTATTGTTTTCCAGAATTCTTTAACTGGTCTCCCGCTCTCCAGGATTTAACCCTCCAATTCGCCCTGCATACTACTTTCAGGTCATGTTTTTTACACACAGAAACTTGAAAAAGCTTAAGAGATGGAGTCATTAGCTATTTATATAGCTAGTACGCACATGTCATATCACTATTTGGACTTTATTTTCCTCATTTGAAAGAGAAGAGGTTTAAGATCAGTGGTTTCTAAACTTTACAACAGATCTGAATAATCTGAAGTCATTTTTCAAAATTCAGATTATTCAGATTATCCTGACCCTGAATTGTTCTTTTTTTCTTTTTACAGATTTCTTTATATAAAGACTTCTTCAAAATCTATTACACACTCAATTCTTTAAACATCCACCTTTCTTTTTTAAAAATTCTATTTAGCTTAAATTTATTACTTTTATTTTTAAATATATTTCTAATTAATTAATTAATTTTATGGCAGCATTAGTTAACGAAATCCAACAAGTTTCAGCTGTACACTTTAACCAATGAGCTGCTCTGGGGTAGCTGGGGGAGAGGAAGGAGGCGGGCTCAGGGTGCCAGAACCCAGATACCTTGAGGCTTTCAGCCAATAGTGCTGCGTTGAGCTTGAGTCTTTCATGACTATCACCGCTTTCACCAGTAGCTGGCACAGCGCATTCACTTGATCCATCGCCTTACCTCCTGCTACGCTCCACGAGAGAGCACCATGCCTGTTCCGGGAGCATAACGCACTGATGGCTCCCTTGCTCAGATAACAAACACGCTGGTACCCGACCTCGGAGAGCTGGGGGATGGGGAACGCGAAGGGGAATAGGAGTGGTTGAAGCTCCAGCCCAGAAGGAATCAGCCTGAATTGCTCAATCTTAAATAGCCTGTAGGCATTTGCAATCTTTGAAAAATCTACGGATAATTCTTATAGAGTTGGCCTGTCATAAGTTTGTTTGCAAATTAGAATCATTAGGAAAAAAGTATCAGTTCTCACATTCTAGCTATTTATTAATGTAATTTTCTCATTCAGGAACATGCAGTGGCTCCCTGTTGCCTTTTAAAAAATGTCTGAACTTACTCATTCCCACCTTTCAAAATAGTTTCTATAAATCCCTCTAAAACATGACCTCAGCCTCACAAAATAATTGTATTTACTGTATTTACCCCACTCATACTTCCTTGCTTTCATGTTTCTTTACTTCTTTGATTCTCTCTGTGATATAATTCTTTCCAGGGTTTATGTCTCACATAACATTTAATTTAAGTTCCTAAAATGCAAGGATTGATTATTTTCTTGTCTTCTTCATGACACTAATAGAGCATTTGGCTGGGGAGTAGTAAATTAATCGACACTCATGGCCACCACTTTGGCCAGGCAGGATGGCCTCACTGGTTATTGGATTGAAATCAGGGCATCATTAAATAACAGATTTGAGAAACTGAAAGGCACTAGACAAAAATAAAGTGGCCCAATAAATATAAATAACTGAGTTTGGTTGGCTATTGTTAACTAATTAACAACTACAAGAAAAAAATTTGCTAGCCTAAAGAGAAACAAGGTGTCCTGGGAGCATATACCTCCGACTCAATTATCTAGTCTGCAAGCATCAGGGAAAGATTTCCGGAAGAAAGCGACATCTAATCTGAGATTTAAAGGCTAAAAGGAGCAGTGGGGAAACAGGGAGAAATGTAGGGGTGGGAGACTAACTACATAGAGATCATTATGTAAGGGCTTTCTAGAAATGAAAGAAGGGCAGAGTGCTTAAAATGTAAGAGTAGGTGGCTAAAATAGCAGAGGATGAGGATAAATGAGAAGACCTAGAGTAGATTAAGCTTAGAGGTTTCATTATCAAATCTAGATTTTGGAACCCTCATTGTGCTTCATTGTGAAGAACATATTAGAAGGGGAAAAGAGTAGATTTATAAGGTTTTTGAACTAATTAAAAAAGGAAGGATGTCGGCCTGAAATGGACTAATAAGCGATTAGAAATGAAAGAAGTAGTCAAATTCCGCAAATATTTAGCAGATAAAAATCAATATACTGTTTGACGTGAGATGGAAAATAAGTTTTTTAAGAAGGCAGGAGAGATTCACTATCACCGTATTTTACTGGCTTGATGTACTTGGTGGTTAGATATCACTTACTAGTACAGGAAACAAAGCAGGTGAATAAAAAATGAGCAGATCAGCTTTATAAAGATGAGTACAATGAGTATGTAGAATGTAGAGAAGAGATGGATATATGAGTCTCAATTTTGGTATGCACATCAAGTCTAAATCTATAAATTTGGGGGTAATTTATTATTTAAAGTTAATCATGAAGTCATGAAAATGTGTAGATGAGAAGAGGACCTAAGGCCAAGCCTCTGGTAGTATTGTTTACCATATTCCTCCCCATACCATTCATTCAGTAGACAGATACTACCTGTTGAGGGCAAAGATAAATGAAATAGAAACCCAGAACTCAGGCAGACTAAATACTCTGTACACTAACCTGCACGTTGTTTGCAGTTCGTCAAACTCTCCTTTCTAATATCTGTATACTATATTGCACCCCAGTGTTTCTGCTATGTCTTCTAAGAAGGCTTTATGACTCTTCACCAAGTATCATGTAATGTAGTTTGATGATTTAGGAGTGGGGGCTCTGAACCCTTGAGTTTGAATCCCTTCTCTCCACTTACTATACACATTGTGTACTATGCATCCGATTTGGGTCAATTACTTAACTCTCTGTGTCTGTCTGCTTTTTGTTATTAATATACCCGTTACATGGAGTTTGGGTAAAATTTAAAAGAGAAGAATCACATATAGCACTTGGCAAAAGTGGGATCAATCACTATTAACTGTTATTACTGAAGCTGTGTTGTAAGAACAGAATTTAAATCCTAATTTGGGTGATTTGGGGCAAATTATTCACAAAATAGGGAAAATGTTGACTATCTCATTGGATTATTATGAGAGTATGGCATATTAATATTTGTATTAGTACAAAGACTTGTAAATGATAATAATAGTGATAATGATGACTTTCATTGCTCTATATGTATTTCTTTTTCAATCATAATGTGGGCAAGAAATGTTAGTTGTTATTAATTCTATTAGGTAACTTTTAATTCATGTTTTGTAATTTCTACATTTCTCATAATCATTGCCCAATAAACATTTATTGAAAGAATAATTCAAGATAACATAGAAAATGATGCTGGTGTTTTTGGGCCCAAGTGCTTGTTCGATGTCCTGGTACATTTTCTTTTGAAAATGTCATTTTGTGTTCAAGGCTATCTTTATATCTAGATGGACTGGAAAATTACCTTAGAATTAACTGAGAATTGAGGAGATATCCTGTCTTCTCATATATACATGATATCCGTGGTATTAAAATAAAAGATTTACTACTTTGACGTCTATATTCTCCTATAAAAATTCAAGTTATCCTGGACAATAATAAATTAACCTGGTATCAAATTAATCTACCATATTCAAAGACTAGTCACCAGAGAATATTCATCTCTGAATCTTGATTGAGACAAAACTTTGGGTGCATTCATTCATTTATTCATTAATGCATGTATTCAGCAAGCATATACATATATTTAAGTTCTTAAGCACAAAGATGGTACAAAAATGTGGATTCAAAAGCATAGTGCTTTCACCAGGGAAACTAACTGCAGAAAAGGAAAAAGATCCTATGGTTCTAGAAGGAGGAATTTACAGTGTAGACAAAAGCATGGACTTTCCTTGGGGCATACATTCCAGGTGGATTATCAACATCACTATGAGAAGGAGAAAAATAGAAAGAGCAATATGAGAACAGTGGATGACATTAGGCCCAGTGCCATAGAAGGGGGATGAGAAGCTATCAAAAACAAACAAACAAAAAACTTAAGTGTCAATGAATCATTAAACACAGCCTAGTATGAATTTAATGGGCTGAAAGAACTCCATAGGTATAATGAAAGAGGTATATACTTTATTGGGGAAATGATGAAATAGACAGTATTTAAGGAGTATTCCACATCACGGAGAGCGCTCTAAAGACAGGACCAAACTCTTTAGGTTGTGCCCACAGTTGAAGGAATCTTTGTATTTCTGACAGAAGAAAACCACGACAAAAAACCACTTAAGGTTTTGGAAACTTTCGGTAAAGAAATCTTAACTGGACTTTTGGATGGCTTGGTGGAAAAAAATGTTCTGAAACTGGAGGAAACTGAAAAGAAAAAATTTCAAGATGCCAAACCTGCAGACAAGGCCTGGGTCTTGGTGGACTCTGTGCGACAGAAACGCCACGAGGCAGGTCAAGTCCTTGTCCAAACCTTCCTTAACACGGATAAAAATTCCACCAGTACAGAAGGTAAGAATGGAATAATTTACAATGAATATCTCAAATTTTTCAAAACCAATTTAGCTCTGGTGTCCTCTATAATGCCCTCCATCCTTAAATTACTAAAATATCATTTTCACTAAATCTATCATTGCCCTTTCAAGGGCCCCGTTGTCTTTCATGAGACATAATTCGATTTCCAGTTAGCTAAGAAGCTGAGTCTTTGGTGTTTAGGTTGCTCATGGAAATAGCTAGTTATAGACACTTTGTAGTTAGGGATATCTGAAGCTAGGTTCTTTCACTTTGGACACTATCTGACTTCATTCAATTTTCTTAACCTGCTTAGGCATCAGTCTCAGCATCTGTGAAATGAGGACAATTTCAGTAATTTCATAAGCTTTATAAGGCTAGAAACACAATGGCAAGGATATGCTGACAACTCTTAAGATTTTAGCTCTCATCTAGCACTCTTCTCTGAGCTCTAGATATATTTAGCTCTAGCTGCATATTCAACATTTCCACTGAAATATTCCCCTGGCTTCACAAAACTAAGATATCTAAAATTAAATATTCGATTTCCTCTATCAAATCTATTCCACTTCTATCCCCTTTCTATCTCATTAGATGGGACTATAATCCACCAAATTACTTAATCCAGAGTACAGCAGTTTTCTTCATCAATCAATAATAGTTTTAAGCATAGTGCTAGGCACAAAGCAGACAAATAAATATAGGATGAACAGACAAATGGAGAACACACATGCAAATATATATTAGTTGTCATAATTATTTGGCTTGTCATATTTAGGGCTTTCCAGTGCTTACTCATTTCTGCAAGTTACAAAATTTGAATAGGAGAATACCTATAAAGTATCTAATATATTAAAACCTTTCAAAACTTTTGACCTACATTGAATTATGAATATTTCTAGAGCCTAAATATCCACAGGCCCAAGTTCACCAGTGACAGACTCTATTTGCTGTGTTTAACCTGAAATTCCAGCCCTGAATACTAGAGTTTATCAAAAATAAGAAATTATAAACAAAAGACAACATAAATTTTACAGCCCTCACTATAACAAATACACTTTTTCAATAAGCCCTTTTCTGGGGTCAACAGCGGGAAGCAAAAGCTCATGTGACAGATGTCCAAGACTGTGGCCTAGGCTGTGTTCTCATTGATATTTATACTGGTCCTTGTGCAGGTTCATTATGTTATCTAAAATCTGGGATGAGACAGGAAAAAAAACAAGGATTTTTTTTTTTCAAATATCAGAGATAATTCAACAAATGGGAACCAGAATTGAAGTAATAGGAGCTTCAAAATAATTTTAGCAACCCTAGGAATCACAATGAGCATTCAACTAAACTGAGATAACCTGTTGCATCAGGAGAGATTGTGGCAGGCAGGAGACAGGTAAAGATCCTGTGAAGTGATGTGTTCAGTGGTTCCCTGGGCTCTATCTACAGATGGAGCCTCGAAAGTGATCCCGGACACCTATAGCACACTCACTCAGCAGGCCAGAAAGCTGGATGAGCTGGGCTATCAGAATACATAAAAGCCCTGGCCAGGCCTTTTGGACATTGATATAATTCTGAGGGTTCCTAGCATAGTATTAAGAAAATGAAGTGGGGGATAGAAAGAATCCAAGCTATTTGCTTATCTTATTTAAAAAACTCAATTAGCAAACTCATATATATACATGCTATATGCCAAACACTATTGCTTAGAGAGATAAGTACTCAAATTCCTACCCATCAAGGGAGATGGTTTTGACTTATCTCATACCAGCCCCTTGCTTTTTTTTTATCAGTTGAAGGGGTGTCCTGAGTATTACATTAGTTAACAGATAAAACTTAGATATTAAAAGTTTCATCGAAACCCCTAATTCTCTCATTTCTTTCTGCTACACTGCCAAGCTAATGGAAAGAAACTCTTTTTGGGCAGCGGGCTGCACAACAATATTCATTATGTTGTAATGAAAGGATTTGTTTTTTATGCTAATTTTACTACTAGATTTCAGATAGAAATACTGCCTAATTCCCAATTTTATCTGCAAACGCTGTCTATACGTAGACATTAGATAGCATTTCTTAAGTTCGAGAGTTTAGCAAACATGTAAATAAACTGGAACCAGAGGAGACTTTTGATGAGAAACACACGCTTTGACAAGGGAATATCCCAGGGCCCTGGGTGTCTTTATATTGCTAAGATCTTCTGGAATGCAAAGGGAGAACACGCGTCACTGTTTAATCTTTAAAAATAAATGTTCAGAAAGTTTGGTTTCCTTAAAGACTTATAATTTGCTGCATCTTCAGAACTTAGGTTTTTAGAAAACTTTTTAGAAAGACATTTATCAAAAAAAAAATTATGTAAAAACCAATGGAAATAAATTAGTAAAATAGAAAAAACTATAAAATATAAAAACTGAAAATTTCATACAGGATAATATTGCTTTTTTTATTTAAATAAAATCAGAGAGTATCTTGGTTCATAATAGCCTTATTACATTAGATCTTTATAAACCTCTCTTCTAATTTCCATTTATGAATTCCTCTTCCTTCCTCCTTCAGGGGTGGTCTCTGGACTTTCCCAGTCTCTTGCACAATCTCAGTCAAAAGATGCCAGTTGGACTGGTTTCAGATCATATTACATTTCTCTAGGGATCAGGCTGAATGAGTCAGAAACAAACATCTCTGACGAGGGGGAGTTATCGCCTCATCTTTTAAAACATGGGCTAAAAATTTAGTGCTGGTTGTTCAGCACTTTGGAGGACAGGGCCCCCAGAGTATATTAAAATCTCTGACCAAAAAATTGTCCCTTTGGCCCTGGATACAGCATTCTGGTTACTAGGTAGCATTTCTCCTTTGAATGGCTGACTTTCCAACTTGGTAAAGAATCACTGAAGCCCATCTCCTCTGAAGAAGTTAAGAATTCAGGCTGAGATTGTTGAAAAATTACTACTTGGATAGCACAGGGTTCAGGATTCTATTAAGTGTGTGTTATGTGTTGTGTGAAGTAGGAGGAGATTAGGAATGTTATACCATCCAATATGACAGCTACCAGCCACACGTGACTGTTAAGTGCTTGAATTGTGGCTAGTAACAGTTGTGAAATAATATTTTGTATTTATTATGTTAAATAAAATATTAAAATTAATTTTGTCCACTTATTTTTACTTTTCTAATGTGCACATCAGAAAATTTTAAATTGTACATGGGATTCAATTATATTTCTCATATACTCTTGCTTAGAGACAGGAGAAAGCACACATGGATGAGTGACTACTCTAGAGTAAAAACATTGCAAAACTCAAACTGTTTTTGCTAAACATAAAAAAAAAAAGGCTAAATTTGACCCCAAATCATCAAAGTGTTTCTTCAGAATAATCAGAATATACTATTACATTTTTAGGTGGATCTGCTTTTTCTTACCAAGGATTTCTCTCTTCTTTCCCAGTCACAATACATCTCTTCATACCAGAAGTTAGATATAACTATGATTCCTACATTAAAAGATGTTTTAAAAAATCTTCTCAGAATTTCCCTTCTCTGTCGATATTCTCAGGTGAAAATTGGGTCACAGAGGCAGATATCAAAATTTATATCATGTGATGTCATGTGATGTATCCTGCAGCTCTTTCGAAAATAGTGGCGGGACCTGTTGAGTCAGCAGAATCTACAGATACCCTCAAGCTTTGTCCTCATGAAGAGTTCCTGAAACTGTGTAAAGAAAGGGCTGGAGAGGTACTGTGCTCTGTACATGAAATGAGGAAAGAGAGAGAAACAATTGCTTTCACTAAATGCACAATTTTTTAAAGCACTAAACATAGAGTGGTTGGGTGGGGAGGTAATTGATTTCATAGATTACAGGAGGAAATGAGTAAGGAGAAAATCATGTAACCTCATACAGATTCCAATTTTCTTTCAACCCCATGATAAAAATCTCACTTTGTTCATTTATTTGTTCTCATATCTTTTTGGAATTTATTACATTTTTAGCCAAGGTTATAGAATCAAAATATTTATAAGAGAACATGGCTGAGTAGTATCTGTTTGCATGCTAGTTCAAAAGCCTAGATGCGAAGCATATTTAAAAATATAATTAAAGCCTGAAATGCATTATAAATTGACATGTTAAAATAGTACCAAAGTAATAATGTTACCAAAGGCAAAGAATTTTCAAGTATTTATTTTTAGCTGGAGCCAATAGCAAATGTCTCCTGATTTTTATAAAATTTGATCTGAACCTTGAATACTAAGAAAGCTTTGTCTAGGTGGAGAAGAGAGAGGAGATGGATAAGGTAGGAATTGGTCTAGTTTCCTCAAGATTCTTATATAACTATCCCAAATATGTTCTGGGTCCCACTCTGGGCTCTTGAACACTGAATCACTTTCAATCCTCAGTTCTTCCTATTGTCAATTCAATCTACTACAAAGAAAAAGGAAGCAGTGTCTTCTGGTATGGAAGAGGGAAGAGGGCTGCTATATGAGATCTTAACAAAGCAACAGTGATTAGTATAGAAAGGTTTAAAGGAGATTTGGATAATTCAAACTCACTGCGTATTTATTTCCTGCAGATCTATCCAATAAAGGAGCGAAAGGACCGCACTCGTCTGGCTCTCATCATATGCAATACAGAGTTTGATCATCTTCCTCTCAGGAAGGGTTCTGAGCTTGACGTTACAGGGATGAAGGAGCTGCTTGAGGGCCTTGGCTATAGTGTGGATGTGAAAGAGAAACTCACAGCCACGGTAAGGGCCCCTCACCCACTAAAAACATGTATGGATTCAACACATATCCTCCTATTAATATGTTAGCCAAATACTTTAACAACTTTAGGCCACATGTTTGTGTGTTTGTGTGTTTATAAAATGAGAGTATTAAACATATCATTAAATTTACTTCTGTTTCTTTTGCTATCCAAATATCGATTCCATAAAACTAGACAAAAAGTGATTGGCACATGTACCCACCCAATTTTTAGTTCCAAAGTGGGATGATTGGGATTTAGATCCAATAATCCTAGAAAATTCTAAAGTAATGAATGTTTAGCGGGTGTCTACTCATCATGCAAATACTGAGTCCCAACTTTGTCCCAGGGGCTATTCCTGGCACTGGGAATAGGTCTGTGAATGAGACAGGAAGTTCCCAGCTTGACTTGATTTCAGTAGTGAACCTAAATGTGAACTTGGTGGAGGGCAATCAAATTTAAAGCAAAACAGAAAATTTCTGAGATTTGATGTGTCCGTGTGTCTCCGTAAGAGTGAAAATAAAGTTAAAAGTGAGTGAAAAAGGACAAAGAAAACCTAAGAGCAGAGTAGTAAGTGGGGAGTAATAGCTTTGATGGAATGGTCGAAAAGTGTCTGTTAGGAGACAATATAGGAGCTGACAGAGCACTACCAGGAACAAGACAGCTCTGGAAAGATGTGAATAAAATACATTCCAAGAAAGATGACTACTAATGAAAAGTCTGAACTGAATATGAAACTGGCACGTGAGAAACACAGGAAAACCAGTGGGACTAGAGTCTAGAAGAGAAAAAAAGATGGCAGGAGCGGGTATATATATGTCAGTTTTATTGTATTCCAAGTACAGTGAGAAGGGTTTTAGAAGGGAAGTTGTATGATATCTTTTTGACACAAGGTTCTCCTTAAGTAATGAGGGAAAAGACAGAAATAGAAAAAAGCATAAAAAGTGACAATAAGCAAATATAAAAAGTGTCAAGAGAACAATTTATATAATGTTGGTGGGAGTAGAAAGTTGAACCAACTGTTCCAATATAGAAAGAAAAATAAAACTACCATTGAGTAACCATGATGTGAAGGCACCATGATTGGAACACTACCGATGTTTCCTATACTACTCATGATAAATGGGAGTTCAGATTAAGTTTAATGCCTGTCCTATTAAAGTAAGACTTTATGGTCTTTTTCAGGAAATGGAGTCAGTGCTGCGGGAATTTGCTGCCCGCCCAGAGCACAAGTCTTCAGACAGCACATTCTTAGTATTCATGTCTCATGGCATCCTGGATGGAATCTGTGGGACTTTGCATAGTGATGAAAAACCAGATGTGCTCCCATATGACACCATCTTCAGGTTATTCAACAACCGCAACTGCCTCAGTCTAAAGGACAAACCAAAGGTCATCATCGTCCAGGCCTGCAGAGGTGGTGAGTTCTGAGTTGGAAAATCCAAAGGTCCTCAGGTGTTTGCTGAGGATTGTAATGTATGTTTTATTTTTAGGGGAAACAATCTTTGCTCCCATTAGGCGCAAACAAACTGAATTGAATTATTAGGAAACTTCAGTTGGCGGGGGTGTGCGGGGGGTGCGCGGGGGGTGCATCATGAGAATTCAGCTGAGAAATACCTATTCAGTTTAATCCAAGGTAAGTGATGAAGGAGATTGGCAGAATCTCTAAATCAATGTTAAACAAAAATATTTCAACTTTGGAATGAAATCATTTCAATGACAGCTTTATTTGTAAATGTTTTACGACATTCTGACATTCTCTGGCTTTTGAAGAATTTCATTTGAAAGTGAGGCTACTCTGTAATAGCAGCACCTTTTTTATTTTCATACATTATCGAAGATGAAATTAGTAGGGAGATGAGGTTACATGGGATCGCAATCAAATTTTTCTTTTTTTTAATGACTTCCAATTGCTTCTCAGCTTTTTGGAGCAGTGTTTGGGGGAAAAAGCAGAAATAACTTAGCTAAAAACTGGTAACTCTACTCTAACATAATGCAAATAAGGTTTTAACTCCTTTGCTCTTCTTAGCAAATGAGTCTTCCAGTTTTATGATACTGTCACTATTTACTGACAAGATACTGTCACTATTAATTAGCACATTGCTTGAAGACACTAGAAAGAGGCAAAATGCTGTCTGTGCGGGGTGCGGGGAGGAGTTGCGCACGGGTGTATGAAACTGGTGAGAATAAACATTGAAAAAGGATGAAGCTGGCAACTAAGATAGTCATACTGAGGGAGGCACACAGTGTGTGAGAAGTCGATGTCTCTGCAGCAAATCGTGGGGAATTGTGGGTCAGTGACTCTCCAGCAGCCTTGGCAGACAGCCATTCGCAGTCACTTGAGAACCTGGAGGAGGATGCCGTTTACAAGACACATGTGGAGAAGGACTTCATTGCTTTCTGCTCCTCCACCCCACGTATGTATCTTTCAGTTGCAGACAAGAATTTGTGGGCCTGAGGCCAATTCTGAATGACTGGGACTGGCTGACCTTTCTCAAATGATCAATTTCAAGCCCTTTTCTCCATATTTCCCATGTGATGCTAGAGTAGTGCCATTGTATACTTCAGTAGGAAGGAATGTGGATTCTCTTTTACGACAGGTAGAAAATGATTCTATGGGGCTTCTTAGGCCTAATAGCAGAGAGACAGTGTTTAGTCTTTGACCTCTAGGTAATCATCTTAAGAAGCCTTATATTTGAATGTTTCTAATTTGCAAATTTTTGTTTAAAGTCTCTTTTTAACCACTTCATGCAGGTATAATTGACATATAAAAAGCTTTATATATTTAATGTATCTAACATAATGAGTTTGGATATGAGTATACACCTGTGAAACTATCACCACAATTTATGCCATAAATATGTTCCTCTTCCATTCAAAAAATTTCCTTTGGCTCTGTTCAACTATTTTGTTTACTATATTGTGAAAGACGATATGCTATAGAATTTGTAAGCAACCTTGGACCAGGTGGCCATTTCTTGTTGCTTACTGTATGAACATGGGACAGTTCTTTAATCCTTCTAAGCTTCTATTCTTTCCTTTGTAAAATGGGATAATACCAGTTATCTTTCAAGCTTCTTTTCAAAACCAAGTGAATAAACATAAGGCACATAATAGAAAGTCAGCCCCAGGAATACAATGCAATCATTATGCAAACTTTAGCAATTCTGATAAGTTGCCCCTTTAGCTCAACCTCTGATAGTTTTTTATTTGTTTGTTTCCTCTATGTGGAAAATGATTTTGTGTAGAAATATAAGTGCTTCCTCTTTACATGTCAATTCCCAAGCTCTGCTTAAAAACAAACAAAACAAAAGTGTAAACAACAACAACAAAATAGCTAAGGCCACAGCCCAAGACTTACCACTCTCTATCTTCATAGATAATGTGTCCTGGAGAGATATCACAAAGGGTTCTCTCTTCATTGCACAACTCATCTCATGCTTTCAAAACTATTCTTGGTGCTGTCACCTAGAAGAAGTATTTCGAAAGGTAAGCTTCTTTTTCCTTTTTAAATCATTTATTTGTTTAGTAAGACTTTATTATTATTATCCTTTGAAGTGACAATGACAGATTTTGTCAGGCAAACAAAAGTAGAGCTGTACCTGGTTTCTGTTATCCAGGGGTTTAAAATTTGTTTTAGAAAGAAATGTCAATGCGCCATAGCAGGAGATAAAAACAGAACAAAATAATATAAAATATAAGCTTGTATTTTTATAGGCTATAAGTTCTTAAAATTCTAAGAATGGAAAGCATTTTAAATTAATTTTTATGCTTAATTTATTAAATAAAAATATATCAAGTGGTCTACTTGCTAATGGTTTCTATCCTGTTGACATAGGGGTAAGTGAGACATGTGACATAAGGCTACTTAGGACCTACATTTTTGTGAATGGTGGATACTAAACAAGTGGGCCAACAAACAAATGTCTGATTACAGATAGTGATACGGTCAATAAAGAAAAAGATCTCAGAACAATGAAAGAAATACAGAAGACATTCTTTGAGTAGAGTGGTCCAAAAGAGAAGACATGATATTCCTTCCCCAATTCAGGATATTCCATATTTCCCACTCCTTCCTAATTTGTTTTCCTCCATAGTTCTTACCACATTATCTCATTATATATTTTATTTTATCAT